GGTTCTAAACCCCCAATGCAGACCGCCAGGCCGCTGCCGCCTCCTTGCCGGTCACAATATTGCTGATACGCGACATCCCTGATAGCTGCATCCCCGCCCCGTAAGCGGCAACACAGCGCCATCAGCAGTAGCAAGCAATCTCGAGCAGCAACAACGGAGCAGACCACTGTCTTTTTGTTAGAAACGGAATCATTTGTCAATAGTTTATGATGTCAAAATTGAACGATTCTTGCCTCGGCGTTGCAACGCAAACAGGTTGCGTGTGTGTGTATGTGTGCTGGGGGAGGGGAGAAGAGGATTGGGACGTGGAGCAAGCGGGGGCCCCTCTTCAGCGTCCTTAAGGGCCAGAGGTTGCCGTGCAGCTAGCTACCTAGCTGGCTGGCCCAACAGTCCCAACCTCTAGGCCGCATGCAACACCACCCGGTGTGCTCCCCTCTGTCACCCCGTCTGGTAGAGCTCTGTCAAACCACACCGGGCCCCGCCAGGAGGTCAACAAACAAATCACTCAGCCAGTCAGACGGACAAGGGAGGTGACGCCGGCGCCCCTCGCCTGTCGGCCTCCCCCCCTCGCTCACCGCTCGATGCATGGGGGTGCAGGCGTGTTACCCACATGCAGTGGTATGACGTATGTGCGGTACATAGGCCTTCGGAACAACGCCAGGGGAGCCCGGCATGCGCTCCACATCTGCTGCAAATACTCTCCACGTCAGGCAACGGTACTTGCTGTGGCTTGCGCATTTGCGTATGTATATCTGTCTGTGTGTGGTGCTTTCACGTGTACGCCTCAGCAGCAGGAGGTTGGGGTCATTCTTATATTTGGACTGTGTGTGCAGGTGGTGATGGGTTGGGGGAAAGCAGGTGGAAGGGTTATTAGCGGAACGAGGTGTTTGCGCACGCGCGCGCGCGCGTGTGTGTGTGTGTGTGTGTGTGTGTATGGCGGAGTGTTGAATGCAGGTTTCGCCCCTCGGATTTAGTACAGTTGCGGCCGTGCCGTCCTTGCGGGTCGTGGTACCGGGGGGCGGGAGAGGGGTGTTGCTTCGTTCGCTATCACAGAACGCTCTGATCAAAAGACCTTGTGCAGTGAAGCGATTAGAAGAGCGTTTGGTCAGGTTGTTGCTTGGCAGGTATTGAACAGCAACGAGGCCAGGAGCAAGGAGTGGTGCTGCTGTGTTACTCCCTAGCTGCAGCTGCAGCAGTAATGCGCGCTGTGCACCTCGCCAGGCGTGCTTTCCTGACAGAGCAAGACAACCGGAAGCCCCTCGGGATAAGGGAGACTCCTTTTTTAAAATTTCCGAATGCGTTGTGACACCCTCCTAGCCTGATCGTGTGTGTATGTGTATATGCGTGCGCATGTGTTCGTACTGGGGCGTTGTCATGTCGTGTCTCTCCTTATTTGTGCTCCGTATGTATATAGGGATGCACGTGTGGTTCGCTCATGGGGATGGCTTGATGCCAGCCCGTGAGGCAGGTGCCCGCGAGCTGTGGCAAGATGGTGTGTTTAGCGCCATCGCAGGTGTTGGTTGATCTGCGTCCTCTGAGCCCCGCAGCTGATGCTTCATGTCATCATTTTACGCTTATATATAAAGATGATTAGGAAATTTATCTCTCCAGTTATTAGAGCTGTGCTGTCGTACGGGTATGGGGGATGGTCATCATATTGGTGTACAAGGGCTGGTGGCATGTACGACAGCAATAAGTACGGCTTCCCTTTTGCTTATTGGGACGCAGAAGGTTGGCCGCGAAACTCAGACATGCCGCGGCGGCAGGCAAGCAGGCAGGGCTGCGCTCGGGCCTACCGTACTTTCGGAGGGTGTGTGGACGGTCACCTGCGACGACTTGGAACCGAGCTCGTCCATTCCTGGGCGGCTACGTTTTTGAAGCATGCGTATATGAACCAGTATCAGCATCCAATCTCGCACGATGTCAAAAACGAATTGAACAAATTACTGCTCAGCCTACGTACCTCACTTACCAGCCTACGTACCTCACTTACCAGCCTACGTACCTCACTTACCAGCCTACGTACCTCACTTACCAGCCTACGTACCTATCAACCGACCTCACCAACTGCCATTACGTCTTCCCGCCACTGGATCTCGTTGCACCTCAGAAGCGTCCAGGAGTTACAGAAAAAACAGTCTCCCCGTATGATCAGCTGCCGCACACACCTATTTGCATCCACCCTTTTGCTAAGGGTAGACATGGACATCATGTGCTCATTCTGAAGCTACCCCTGCTACCCGCACCGGCTAATACATATGCTTGCTTACCAGACGGCATGCGTATCTTTGGCAGATGGTATGGATGGGACGCCGATTAATCAAAAACTTGGAGGCTGGCTGGTTGAAGATCCGGAAAGGGACCAACCATAGGAGTGTGTGTGCAGGCATCTGCCCGTGAATGCACATCCTGAGATAGGATAGATAGGAATGCACATCCATCAGGCCAAAAATTGTGTCAGCTTCATCGAATCTCGGAAAGCGAGCAGCCCCATAGCGCCAGCAACGAATTGCGTTTTCGTTGATAATGACGGCGGCTGCTGATCGGATGAGTTGATTTCTAGACACTTCGTGTTGTTTGTACAAACCGCTGAAACAAACAAGCTGATACCCCATTCAAGAGATGATATTCCAGGCGAGGCAATGACGGGGTATCCAAAGCACTGCGGTGGAACAGACCCCTTGCTTTCGCATGCGTGCGGTGCGGGGCCGCTGTAACTTAGCGCTGTGGGGCCCTTAGCGCGCCTTAATGGATGGGTGTGGACCCGCAGCGCCCACGCACGTATGACCCCAAACATCCTCTCGGTAGAGTAGGTACGTCCAAATAAACAAGCTTACCGTATGTGGACATTTATCGCAGTATGCATTTGGATGATGATGATGATGATGAACGAGATTACGGGGAATTTTAAGGGATTTATTACTTAGGGTACTGGTATCGGCCCATTGAGTCAGCCGACGGTATGTAGTCGGGTGCATGAGGGGGATGTAAGAAGCGACATGCGGACTTGGCTACGGTACGCGGGTTTAGCAATGATGCCCTAGTGTTTGATGATTCGACAAAGCACGAGGCAAGGAATTAGGCTGGCAAAGGGATGTACACATTTCCCTGGTGGCTACAACTCTGAGGGGGAACACGACTTCGAGCGACTTTGGCATGGACTTTGGCCACGCCGCAGATCTTTTTTGTAAATAATCATCATTGGGACAACTGAAGGTTGCATAGTTGATGCGATCTTTGTCCAAACCAGGTTGAAACTGAAAATTGACAACTGGCGTGCTATTATGCACGAAGCAGATCTTGTCCGCCTTTAAACATGCCTTTATGTAGGAAATATCTTCTGCTATCGTACTTCGAATCGTATCGGTCTGCATAGGCCCGCACTTGCAGTCGTGTCGGTCTCATAAACGAGTGCCCCTACAGAAAGCGCCTAGGCAAGGGACCTGGATTCTATGACGCCTTCATCTCATTTGTTGAAGGGAGACTGCGCCTGCCTGTCCTACGCCCCATCGCTAGTGCTTTCGGTTATTTAACCTGGCTCCTTCGTCGACACGATATTCTTCTTACTTGAGCCGTATAGAGGCAATCTCAGCGTGCTTCTATGTCGCCTATGTCGCCGTTGGTTTGGGTTGCCTACCGTCATGAACAGAAATGGCGGGCTGTGGTGGCGCGGCATTCAGAACTCGGACGATAAGCACGGGTGGCTGATCTACCTGCGTTCCTGGAAAAAACAGATTGCTGAAGCACACTGTGTATATTACATAAGAGCACGGTGTTTCCCATTTTCCGTACCTGTACGCCAAGTTCTTACAGCGGTAAGAACTTCCGCGGCCGACGGGATAGCTGATAGCCGAGTAGTAAGCCTGAGGTCGCTCTCGCAGATGGGGTTTGCAACCCCTTCTTTCTTTCATTTTTTGTATCTTTATTCTTTTTGAGCACGTTAGAACTCGCTATCCATGAGCCTCCTAGCTCACCTGGGACTTACGAGCTCTCGCGAGCTTATAACATAACAAAACAAAACAGACGGGATAGCCTACGGAGATACATACATTAATCTGAATAAAATTAATCCTGACATGGCAAGATTACACTTGAGAAAAGGAGGAGGTCTGGGTCTAAACGCCAGAGTACAGGCGTTCGTCCAGTCCGCAATTTGTAAATGCGGCAATATTTGCACTACGCAGGCAGCGAGGTAGACTCGCAAGCGGACGGGCTCCAACCGCCTTTAACAGTATCGCAGCGGTAGCGCAGCCCCAAAACAACGACAGAAACGGACGTGTGTATAGGATGGATTGGCCTACGCGCCTCCCGCGGTCAGTTGCGTGCTAACCTTGGGGGCGTAACCTCGGTGCCTTTGAAGGGCCAACTTCAGCGTACACGTCACAGTGCTCGCAGGGTTTCGATCTTATGTATGCTCCAGTCATCTGGCCGTGGAGAGAAAAGGCGGGGCGCTAATGCGGCGACAGACTGCAGACGAGCCGACAAGCTGTTAGCCACCACTGAAATGCATACACAAAGAAAGCATTACAGAAAGGGGAGGTCCCACAACCGGTCAGCCTAGATGAGGTGCTGACGGCCACATTTCAAGAAGCGGAACAAACAAACGCCAGGAAGTCGCGAAGCAACCAAGTCTATTTCCTCAGCGGGACAGTCGGACTGGCGAAGGACAGCAGCAGTACGGGACAGTAGCAGAGGTGGGGCGAGGACAAGATAGACCATACATTGCGCTTCTTGGTAACCTCCCCCCAGGGTTTCCCCGTTCAATGAGTGAGCTACATTATTTTATAGTGCGTGTAGTGCGTGTCTTAGTGCGGCAAGGAAGGGCGAAGCGTCGGTAGTGGCAGCAGGTGAAATGTTCATTGCTTGCGTCCATTTCAGTCATTGACACACTTCGGAAGCGAGTTTTCTAGTTATGGTGCGCTTGGGGATATGCGTATGTAAGCAGCTTTTGATACTGTCGATAACGGAGGTCTCGCATGTGCTGTCGTCGCTAGAACACCAGCAGCTATGGAACAGTCATTAGCAGCTAACGTTCACGTAAATATCTATCCCTCGCGATCGTCACTGCTGGCCGCGTAATTTGCCATAAATGATATGATGCTATGAGCAAGGCTATATCGCAGACATGAATGGCGGACGTATTTGAAATTTGAATTGCATGTGTATTTGTCATGACACGCATGCGCAAGTAGCTCGACAGGTCGGTCTTGTGGCGATACGGCGCGGGCAGTCGAGTCCCTTCGTAGCCCTTAACAAAGTATGTCTGTAGGCAAACGGGGTGATCAATGGAGTGGGAGCGAAATGGCTCCAAGGACGTTTTCCTGGGATGGGTTGCGAAACGGCCCAACATGCTGCGAAGAGTTACGATTGCCCATTAAATTCCATGTCCAAAGCACTTTTTTTCCATAGTCGGCCAAATTTCCATGCACGCTGAAAAGACAATGAAGGCAAATATAATTGCATAATGCTGCATAATGGCGCCCTTGCCTTCCCACGTCTCCTTGAAACAAGCTTACCAATTATCGCAGGGTTTCGGCAGGTCGGCTTCATGCCAGACAGTTGCAATTAAGGTGAAGAAAGAACGGGACTCCATTGTCTTTACTTACATCTATTGCTTTATGGATCATCCTTCATCATCCTATTCTCACCTTGGAATCCCTACTTCTGCTGCATAAGGTTAGGGTTGCTAAATAGTCGCACTGCCCCTCCATCCGACGGAATCCGACCCCGATCGTTGGCTACTGGGCAATAATTAGAACGCCACATTCAGGCACCCTGGTGTTGTTCGGCCTCTGACGTCCCCATTATGTAAAACTCTATCCTTTTTCAACCGGGCTGCCAGGGCGAGCAAGATACGCTCCGCAACATAATCACTACCCCAGGCTGTGCAGAGCAGTCTTGTGTAGTTGAAGCGCCGCGCAAGCTTAGGACATTACCAGGTCAGCTAAGGGATTACAAAAACAACCGGATCGACTGAATTCCGGAACGGGGTCTGCAGCTGGGCCAGATGTAGGCAGGTGCGGCCCGCCATTGAATCGCGCCGCCCACGCCATGCTACGGGAAGCTGCAAGGAACCATAAAATAGTACTGCATATCTATAGATTTCCATATAAATACTCATACGGAGCAGGGAGGCTGGTGAAGGCGTAGCAGGCCGCGGCGAAGCAAAAAATTGTACGCAGCGGCGATAAGGATCAAGTCACAAGTATATATACAAGGTAACGTCGGGATGCATTAATATGTTATAATTCCACGCGTTACGATAATTGTGGCTCCATGCTTGCTTGACAATCGTGTCGCTAATAAGGCTCGACTTGTTCGTTAGCAAGCTCTGCTGTGTACCTCTGACGGTTATAAATGTAAAAAAAGGAATCAAAATGGACCATTAATGTTGCATGTGCTGGAACTTCTCTTCTCCCCTCTGCCTAATCCGGAACTTGTACTTTCCTCCATGCGCTCGCTTTACAGCGAAACATTATATGCCTTGCATTTTTCCTTTTTCCTTCAACTCAGAGCCCTGATGATAAAGGCGCGCACCTGAGCCATGTGGAAAGTCGCCTTGCTGCTGCTACTGGCGTCATCGCCGCACGCCCTAGGTATGCCAACCGCTCGCGTCCCTGCATCCCTCTGTCCAACCAGCAAACCCGCCATGGATCCTACTTGCTTGTGCTTGTGCCTTTTTGATCATGCGATTATGCTTGTGATTTTGTCAGCTGCCTGTTAAAGCTATACGTGCGTTGAAGGTTAATAATAGATAGGCTTTCATCTGCGGAGTCCAACGTCAAGCACCTCAGTTCCATGGCGTTAGCAACAGCCACAGTAGCGGGCCCGGCAGAGGGGCCCTATACAGCAGCAAGGAGAAGCAGTGCAATAGCCCCTCTCCGCCGTACAACGTTGCACGCACGCTTTCAGACGCTGCCGTATCCTCTGATGTAAACATTGTGCTGGCTGTCAATTGGGGAATTTTACGTGCATACGTATTCTATTACCTACAACGCACATAACCTATGTTGCATGTGCATGTGCATGTGCATGTGCATGTGCATGTGCATGTGCATGTGCATGTGCATGTGCATGTGCATGTGCATTGCACGTGCATGTGTACGCTTCCGCATCAAGAGTAAGTTACCTGCATTGGTTAATAAACCGCCAAAAGGCATTTTAGAATGCAAGAGATACAGATATACAGTCCCACCTAAAAGCTCCCAAATCTATAGCTTAAACGGAGCGGCCGCAATTATGAAAACCGCTTTTTAGACATCGTGCGGTACGACAATTCCTTTCCTGCTTGGCTGCCGTAACTTGGTTCCTGTTGTTGCTCGTTAGCATCTGCTATGACGGCTGTCCTCAGGCAGCCTGGTGTTGGTAATTTTTATAGCTATCACACAGCTTGTGTTATTCGTTGTCTAACTGACGGCAATTGCTGTTACTGCTTGCTGTCTACGTCCGCTCCTTCCGTAGGCGCTCCTGCCCGCAAGCCCCCACCACGGCGCTCTCCAGTGGTCGCACTGGTGGAAACACCGGCGGCGCCTCCGCCGGGTTCGCCTCCGCCGGGAACGCCTCCGCCGGGAGTGCCTCCCCCAACCCCGTCTGGTCCTGAACACCCCCCTCCACCTCCCCCGCCTCCCCCTCCACCCCCTCAGCCGCCCCTTCCGCCTTCCCCTTCACCCCCTCCGCCTCCCCCGCCTCCTGTCCCTCCCCCGCCGCCTCCCCCTCCGCCACCACCACCTCCACCTTCGCCGCCGCCTCCCCCTCCGCCTCCCCCGCCGCCTCCACCT